CCCCAAAACCCCAAAACCCCAAAACCCCAAAACCCCAAAACCCCTGTTTAAAATAATATAATTGAAGATATTTTATGGCTCTTCTTCGCTGTCTGTTCCTTCTGAATTATCCTTCGCGCTTTTCAAGACATTCTTACAACAGATAGGTCTGCCTTCGACTAGAGTTCAGCAGTTTGATGATCACTCGCACTCTAAAGGTTCTCTATCAAAACTTTCTTTAAAATAAGCAATAGCTTGATCTATTCAATTTCTTGACTCTTCAAGGCCTACAACTGGGAGGTTCATACTCAAAAATCCATGAGGGAAATGAAGATATTCTTTGCATCTGATATCAACATCTGCGTCTATGAGTTTCAAAACAAACCTGTATTGCTCATCTCTTAGTGGGTCATTTCCTGCTGTCATTATTCTTGTCGGTGGGAACTTCTCTAACACATTTTGAGGGCAGATCCCTGGTGATAGGAAATGATCATTTTCAGCATCAGCATCTTTAACATAAGCATCAATAAAAACCATTAGAAAACCTGTAGGTAAAATATAGTCATCAAGTGACAGAATCAAGCTTGGAGAGAAGTTCAACAAAGACATGTTCAACACTGGATATGCAGGAAGAAGAAAATCTGGAACTCTAAAATGCTTCTCAATGCACAACATTGTTAAGGCACAAGCTAAGTTTCCTCCTGCTGAGTCGCCTGTAACAATTATTTTAGAAGGCTTGATTCCGAATTGGGTAGTGCAGTTAGTTACCAACCAAGAGTAGGCTTGCCAGACATCATTCAAAGCAGCTGGGTATGGATCCTCAGGAGCGAGTCTGTAATCGATTGAAAATACAGGGATTCCTAGTCCATTTGCATACTCTCTGGTATACCCCTGATGGGAAAAACTACTCATTGAAACAAATCCTCCACCATGAATGTGAACCAGAATTGCTTTAACATCGATATATTCTTTCACTGGAGTCTTAGCTTCCTTTTTGAGCTTAGGCCCATGCTGATCTGAACTATTAGATGAGGTCCCCCATTTCCAAAAATTAAAAATTTTGCTTCTTCCTAATCCTTCTTTCAGTTCCTTAATAGTATGTTTAACTCCAGAGAAGAATGAACCTCCCTCCTGATTTTTATTTGCTTGCTCAATCATAGTCTGATCAACCTTCCTGGTCTCCCAGTTGACTGGAAGTTTGAATGGAGAGAGCACCCTGACCATTACATTCTTTTCTGGATCGTAAAGACTTGGGTCTGTTAAGAATTGACTCTGTTCATTTTTATCAAAATCTTCTGAAAAATCATGCCTGCAAACTCTCATGGAAGCAGAAGCAAAAAGGCTATTCCCAACCAAATCATTTAGAGTCATGGTCTTCTTCTCTTTCTTCTCTTTGTTTTGTTCATATAAGATTTCGTGGTAGAAAAGTCCTTGTGCCTTCTTCTTTAGATAATCTTGATAGCTCTCGGCAGTCTCTTTGAGATTCCTTAGAGTGATGGTTTCTTCGAGCATTGGAAGATACACAACCTTGTGCATCTGTATGCTTGGCAAGGTTACCGCAGTCATAGCCTGCATGAAGGCTGTCTCAGGCATATTATATATTTTCAGGCATAAGTCAATATCAGGATCACTCATGAACATGTTAAACTGTTCCATCCTTTCTTTCTTGAAGAACAGGTAATATGCAGCATATCTTGCCTGCCCCAAAAACTCTGAAAAAGCGTTACTGTGAGTACCTGCTTTTGATATGAAAGCAGCACCCAAGGCTACAGAATTATTCAGATGGACTTACCTTGGAAATTACAAATATTCTGATACTGGCGATTGAACTTAGTAAGATCTTTTGGCTCATATCAATCATAGAAATTGAAGAACATATCCCAGCTTTCGTCTGAAATATCTTTGTAAAGCATATCATCTTTAGCATAAAAAGCCGCAAATAACATTTCAGAAATCAGCAAAAATTTGGAGGCATAGATCATGAAAGTTTTGAATGATCCCTCTTTTCTTTCTTCAATGGCTTCTTTCATAGTTTTCTTGATTATCTTGAAAAGATCGGCCATATACTTGAAGATCAGAGCAACTGCTGGAACACAAATCTTAAACTTTCCTTCTCTGATATCCTTAACTCTTTGTTCATGTAAAGTACCTTGGAGATGGTTTCTTTCTTTAGCAAGTGTCTTCATGTTGTCAATTTTATTTCAATATGAGTTTGTTTAAACTTATCTGAGTGTCGGATGGGAGTAGATCTGTATAGTTTGTATCGATTGATCCCTTTATTTCTTCTGAATCAAGAGAGAGATCTTCAAACATGCCTTTGTTGTGAGCTTCTTCAAGTTCGTTACTATCAATATGGACATCTTCAGACATTATCAAGTCCTGATCGTCAAGTGCAGATCTATGACCTCGCTCATCTGGTTCTTTGTGTTTATGATGGAGTGAATCTCAAAATATCCCAAGTCTGCAGAACACATCTTCAGCTCTATCTCTCTCTTGCTTAAGCTCATCAAATCGACTGAAAGAACTGAAATGCGCCAAATTATCAACCGAAATATTGACAAGCTCCTTAATATCCACTCACAACCTCTTAAACTCATCACATTTCTCTCCAAAATTAGGGTAATTTGACATCTTAACTAGCCCTCCCATCTCCTTATCAACCTCAACTATCAGGTCAAAACTTAACCTCAAGTACCTAATAAGGTCATCTTCCGTATAAACATGGATCTTCTCCATTGGCTGCATCAACTTCTCTACAACTTTCTCTGAACTATGGAAGGCTTCTCTGGGGTCTCTTAACACAGTCTTTTCTTTCTTGGTCCCGAATAAAATATCCATTTATATTTATTAGGCAGGCAATATGAGAACGGTTAATAGGGGTTTTGGGGTTTTGGGGTTTTGGGGTTTTGGGG